TAATTATTGGCGCTCTCCTACCTATTGCGCCCTCATGTGAAATTTTCAAGGCCGCCTTTCTCCTTTTTGGCACCCTATTGTTCAGTGCCGCCCTCCTACCTATTGGTTCCCTAGTCCTTCCTGTTGAATGTTAATCGGGGCCCTTCTCTTATTGGCGCCCTCGTGTTGATCGCCGCCCTCCTAACCACTGGCACCCTCCTGTTGATCACCGCCCTCCTATCCACTGGTACCTTCCTGTTGACCAGCGCCCTCCGCACAGACGCCCTCCTGTTCGTGTCATCCTCTTGAGCAAAGGCGCCCTCCTCACCATTGCCACCCCCATTTTAATCGTCACCCTTCCGCTCATTAACGACTTCCAGTTGATGACCGCCCTCCCACCTATTGGCGACCTCTTGTTGATCGCCACCCTCCTATTGGTGCTCTCCTGTTCCTCGCCACCCTCTTACCTGGTGGCGCCCTCCTGTTGATTGTTGATCGGGGCCCTCCTACCTATTGGTGCCCTCCTGTTGATCGCTGCCCTTCTATCCATTGGCGCCCTCCTGCTGCTCGCCAACTTCCTACCTAACTTCCTACACATCGGTGCCCTACTATCGAAACTCGGGATGTTGATCGGGGCTCTCCTACCTATTAGCGCCCTCCTGTGGATCGCAGCCCTTCTACCTATTGGCAACATCCGTTGATCGCTGCCCTCTTATCATTTATTTACTCCTTTGGCATGTTTTTCAACTTAGTCGTTCTATTGCACATAGTTGATGTCTTGCCTGTGAAAACTGCCACAAATGAACGTGCATTCAGCACAATGAATGAAGTACCTATACCTACCAAAACTATCTACGCTCTACGATGCATAAAACACGTCTTTGGTCTTAACGGATTGATCCTACTTTACGTGCATCATGGCATCTATATGGATTACGATTAAGTATTGTCAACAGGTTCGGCCGCAACAGCAGGCATCTGAAGTTTCGGTGATTGAAACTGGTTATGTGGGTACACTGTATGCATCTGTGAGAAAGCTATGAAGGCTGGGGTCTGAGGTAATTTGGATGATGTTTACGCATCTCGCGCTCCGGTATCAATCCGATACGGTGTCCGGTGATCTGGTGCGTAGATATGCCACCGCCAATAAACTTTTATACATCGACACCCATGAGCCAAGCTTTCTATACAGTTTGTGTGGCAGCGGCCCGACCAAACCTTTGGTATTTTTTACACCTTCAAATTTGGTAAAAGAGCGAGAGGAGCTTTGAACGGTGATCGTATAAAAGGCGTGCCTAAAAAGCGGAGGAAAAGGTTGTTTTCAAAAATTTTGCGCGCCTTCGGCGCAGCATTTCAAGAACACTTGACCTTTTGTGACCTGGAGTATAAAGAATACACACGATGCAAAATCAATGCAGCACGACCTATACGAGGTTACGCAAAAAAAAAACTGGTGGCATGGTAAAAAACGCCTCCCAACCCCCCCCCCCCCCCACCCCACCCCGCTGAGCGATTTTTTATCTCGCGACCGTATGGCGCCCTCCTTGGGTGAGGTGGCGCCCTCCAAACCCTTGGCCCCCCCCCCCCCCTTCGCGATTTTCTAAATACGCCGCTGCGACAAGGGCAGAGATACGGCGAAATGACGGCACATTTGGCGTCATCTGTCGAGGAACAATCTGCTGCCATGGCGATCGACCGATACGCTGACGTCACACCTGAATTAGCGGCAGTAAAAGGCCTCAGGCGAAGGAGAGATAGGCGGCAATCACATGGGGACGCCCGTGGAAGGTGAACTTCGGAACGGTGGCTGATGCACAGCGTTTACGTATTTATAGACTGACCTCAGTCCTTGTTCTTACTTCAATGATTCGCAAGAATATCGCTAATAGCAGGAATAATGACATAGGTATTTCAAGAAAACCAAAAAGTCTATATAGGTATAATTCTACAAAAATACAAAATTTGTACACAAATTTAAAATCCCTGAAATCTAGCCAAATTATTCACGCGGCGCTGAAAGGAGCAAGGATTGATGATCTTCGAGGCACCCTTACTCGCGCCGCTGTCGCGCTTTTGGTCGGGGGACGCGTTAAAAACCGGATAAATCCGCCCGCGGATGCCCAACGATGGAATAACCCGGACCAGACACGAAAACAGGGGAATACCAGCTCCGGGTGCACCGGATCGTACCAGTTAAATCTGGTGGGGTTAGTCGAAGGATCATCGAACGCGGAAAGACCACCGTAATCACCAATCGCCATTCCTTCCTCTGCTAAAATCAATAATAAACGTAGGCCTCGTTTCAATACTAATGCCATCCCTTATGTCATCGAAGCAAATTGAATTTTGGCGTGCTTCACGAACTTTTCCGGCTCGACATGATGCTCCGGCTCGATATCAGCTGTATCGGACTTAGTATTGGACGGTTCGACTTCGGACGAGACGAGGCACGAGTTGGATGACATATCGACCCAGCAAATGAAGCACCTACACCAATAGCATCGGGTCAAATACAATTCGGCATAAGACGTCAAGCCTAGACCTGACTCTGAAACTTGAATTCGCATCATGTCACCACCAATTTACCATGCGCTAGAGGTCAATTTCAAAGAAGCCGTCACAGAGACGAGCAGTCACCGATGCTTCGTCCCCGCCCAGGCAATGACTGCGGCCGGTGTCCACTGCCCAGCGCCCAATCGGCTACTGCCCGACAGGGCAAGGACACGTTACTCGGTCACCGGCTGAGAATCCGATCCACAGCTGACACTCTGTGCCCTGGATGACACCACCGACCAGAGGCTGACGCGGCTACGAGAGAGGGCCTGGTCAGCAGCGCCGTGCAGGCTGCAGGTTGGCTGAGGACTGAGGAGTGGGGGTCGGATCATTTTACGTAGATGAATATACTCAATCTTTGGCCAAATATATCGTATTTCAGTTTTCATCGAAGCATGCACTCGGCACTCGAGCATATTCCAAAAGTCGACGAGCACGGAACAAAAAACACCCATCTGAGACCAAGCCTGTGGGGCTCTAATATGGAACAAAAGGTCTAATATAGTTCAGCCTTGAATCGAGGTATGCGTGACGCCCCAACTGTTTCATGTTTCTCCAGCTATCTTGTGTATCTGGCCTATACCGACCTGACCGGTACCTACACGTCGCCTCACTCCGGAGCTACGCCGGTGGTAGGACGTGGTCGCACCATATTTAGTCGAATCAGGAGCCGCACAGCCCCCACGCCACCGCAGATAGTCAGTTGGGCCGCACGCAGCCGGTCGGGGCCCCACGTGCGGTGAAAGTGGCCAAGCAGCGGCTGAGTGACCAGCATCTGGTCTGATCTGGTCAGCCGTTAACGACAGTTGGCCACCATCCGACCCTCCATAGCTCGGCTCTATGGTAAAAATGGCAGAGCGAGTGTTTGACGCTTTCTAGCGCGGAAACGCCCAGATAACTAGGACAGGACGTCCAACAGGAAAGTGCGCGTCTGTCCTCGGATGGACATGGACTGCACGACTCACGCTATTTTCACTTAGGTCAGCAGACCGTTTGGCTGACCTGACGGCCCCGTCAAGCTCTGTCCGCCAAAGGCTCCGTCTGCCGTCCACGTCCTACCACATTCAGCGATAAACGTCCTGGATGTGGCCATCCGGTGGCACCGGTGATATCCGGACCGACCTCGGCGCCGCGAAGATAGGGTGCAGTTCCTGGTTCAGCCCCTCCGAGATAGCAACGTCCTCACCAGAGTCCTTCAATAAACGCTCTTCTATAAACCTATCTTCTTCCAGTCGCTCCTCAAGTACTTCGTTCCGAGCCCTCGTAGAACCTTCTCCAACCTTCCAAAAGTCTCCCAATCCTCCCCTGAGTCCAGCTCTGCGCCCGCCTCTGCTCCAGCCCTCGCTCAGCGATACCCTGAGCCGCTCTGAGCTCGCCCCTGCTCCAGCCTTCCTGCATACGGACCCTGACCGGATGTGATGCAGCCGGCGGGACCACGTCTGCCGCCGGTGCGCCACCCTCTGTCGCCCGAGTATACCGCGCAGCTGGGACGGGCCGAGACTTCGCAGTTGCGCGGCGCACGAGCGCGACGGTGACCGTCACTGCAGGCCCCAGCATGGTGTGGCCAGGCAAGGGTGGCTGACCGTCGTCTGTCCGGCCATCCGCCAATCGTCCGTCCCAGCCGTGGCCGTCCGGCCGGTCGGCGAAGCCCGGTCCGCCCGTCCGTCCGTATGTCCGTATGTATGTCCGTATGTATGTCCGTATGTATGTCCGTCCGGCGCGGCGCGACCCGCTCCAAACAGGCCGTAGCCGGGTCACCGGAAGCGGTGTCAATGGCTGCACGTCCGGTAAGCGGCGGCAGACGGCGGCGTCGGCGCCCGGAGGGAAAAGGGGCACAGGGGGACAGCGGGCAGCGGTAAGGGGATTAGAGGCACAGGTGGAGCGGGGGACGGGACCGACGCCGGAGAGGGTTTGCGAAACACGTGGCTGAAATGGCCTAAAATGGCTGAACTAGCTGAAATGGCCTACTCAAACTCATCATTCTTACCATCAAGACAAAGAGGACCGATACTTGGTGGCTATGAGGGAGGTCGAGTCGATGCTGGGTTGATAAAAACTCAGCAGTCAGCGGGAAATGTATCTGAGAGAATATCCCAGCCACTCATCTTGTTGGTCGTTGCAGAGACCGTAGCGAAAAAAAGAAGGTAAAAAACAAACTTACCAAATGTATAGATATGCCGTCCGTTCATATAGCGTGCCGTGCTTATACCGGAAATAGATTCCGCGCTAGAGCGGGATGAAATACGACGTGTTACGAAGGAGGGATATGTTTTGGATCTTAGGGACCTAAAAAAACGAAAAGTGCCAAACCCTGGTAAATAGTACCTGCACACGCCACACCAATAATGTTCCCGTGTTTGTTCAACCTTCACGCATGGGGACGTCTTTCACAAGAGTCCGCCTTTTCCAGTTTCCGATCACAAACGTCAGGCGCGATCGACGCGTCTCTCCCGGAAAGAAGCACTCACCATGGTGACGGAGTCCGCCTCCAGACGCAGCTCAGTCGGCTCCCCTCGCCGCTGGCTTCACAGTCGCAGTAACCAAACAGTGCAGCTCACAGCGGCGCAGCGCGAACACCCTTTCCCCACAGCGCGCGGCGCGAGACTGACTCGCCGGCAGGGGGCCGCTGTGCGGCGCGAGGGTCCGCGTGGTGGCTGGAGTCGCGGACCCCGACCCCAAGGACGGGCCAATGCTGGGGACACCCTGCGGCGGGGAACGCAGGACGGTGCGTGAGGGGAACAGGACGGTGCGTGAGGGAAACTTGGGACGGTGTGTGTAGAACGCAGGACGGCGCGTGAGGGAAACGCAGGACGTTGAGTGACAGGAACAGGACGGTGCGTGAGAGGAACAGGACGGTGCGTGAGGGAAACAGGACGGTGCGTGAGAGGAACAGGACGGTGCGTGAAGGGGGCGTATGGACGGTGTGAGGGAAACGCAGGACGGTGTGCAAGGGAAACGCAGGACGGTGTGCAAGGGAAACGCAGGACGGTGTGCAAGGGAAACGCAGGACGGTGTGCAAGAGAACCGCAGGACGGTGTGCAAGGGAAACTTGGGACGGTGTGTAAAGAACGCAGGACGGTGCGTCAGGGGAACGCAGGACGGTATGAGGGAAACGCAGGACGGTGTGTAAAGAACGCAGGCCTTGTGTGTGAGGGGAACGTAGGACGGTGCGTGAGGGAAACGCAGGACGGTGCGTGAGAGGAACAGGACGGTGCGTGAGGGAAACGCAGGACGGTGCGTGAGGGAAACGCAGGACGGTGCAGGGGAACGCAGGACGGTGCGTGAGGGGAACGCAGGACGGTGTTTTTCCTAAAGGTCAATTTAACTTGGGACGCAGGGACGGTGTGTAAAGAACGCAGGACGGCATGTGAGGGGAATGCTGATTGCGGAGCATCAATGCTTTTCCGGACTTATTTGTGACAAGAATTTTGCCAGCATGCGAAACGTTTGCCCCATGGGCCATGAATTCTGATACGTGTCGAGGTAATGTGAAGGTTTGGTTGAGGTCACGTAAAGGTCAGGTCAAGGTCATACGTAGCCCGATCAAGGTCATAGGCCGTTCACGACCTTGTTGAAGTTGACTGCTGAAATTTTGTACGCTTTTTGGGTAGTTTTTGGAACTGATTCCGAATTTAACCCTCGCCGGCGCGGCCGAGGGGGGCGGGTGCCGCCCCCCCCCCATAGGGTTTTTTTCGCGATAGCTCCGAGCACGCTGGCCATAGAGAGCTGAAACTTGGCATACCTGACCTTTGATCCAAGCCGCATCTTTTGACACCAACCGCATTTTTGGGTCAGGTCAGGTCACTGACCTATGACGTCATAAGTGAACCTCTGCACGGTCTTCAGATGTCGCAACTTCGCAACGCCCTCACTGCCAGAGGAGATGTCACAGGGAAATGAAACTTGCAGGATCTAGTATCCATTATGAGTCTCACAACTTGTATATCTCGGATTTTTCCTAAAGGTCATATGAGGTCAGGTCATTTTCGTGACCTCACCATTATAAGTCAATGGGGAAAAATTCAAACTGCTATTCTGGCACCGGGAACGATCTCCAACTATCTCAAGCACACAGAATCGTGATTTGATGCACTCCTTGCAAGGTTAGATGCGTCACTTTTGCAATGTTGACCTTGCGTGACGTCATTTATGACGTCATCAAGGTCATATTAGTTTTTCGTCAATAACTCCTGATCAAATTGAGCTAGCGAGTCGCGAAAGCCACCAATGGACTCTGGAAGACCTGCCGAATCGAATGATATGCGACATGACCTATTTCGACCAACTTCGTGACCTGGGGGTGCTGACCTGACCTTGACCTGAGGTCAACACCCCAAGTTGACCTGACCCGGACAAAAAGTATATCATTCGACGCGCCTGAGCGAGGCAAACACGATGCTGCCAAAATCGGCGCTCTGCGGCCGTTTTTTGCGAAGTTATTCACCAAAAACTGAACCGTACCTTGGGGCACTTGACCTGACCTCAGAGGTCACCCGTTGACCTAGGACCTTAAAATCGGGTATCAATCTCTGCGTCTCGTAACGGCGCACACGCTCGTTTTTTTCCGCGACGCGCTAGCTCCACCAGGGGCGAAACGGCGAGGGGGGGGTCGTACCCCCCCCCCCCCACCCCTCGGCCGGCGCGTATGTAGAAAACCAATAGGTCCGGCGAAGGTTAACCCGGCCGGGCCCGGAGGTAATCCCGACCACTGCAGCCCGGGAGGGACGTTCTTCGCCCCCCCCCCCCCTCCCACCGGCCCCGTCTAATTTCGTTAATAAGGGAGCTACGGAAACAAAAGTGATACCAAATGAAAGGTCTCCCCACGAGACAATTTTAAAGCATCTATTTGTTTACCTCAGGTCGGTTTTCAAGGATCAAAGTCAAAGGAAAAAAGTCGTATGAGTAGTGGTCTCCAACTATAAGTGTTCCAGAGATTAAGTAAGATTTATTTATTTATTTATTCGATGTCATGGAACAACAGGCGAATTGACGCCCAGTAACAGTCCATAGCAGTTATACGTTCGGAGCAGTGTAAACATTGCCTTTGGTTGTAAACATTGCCTTTAGTCTGTTTACATGACACTGATGCATGAAACCACCCAAAACGGATGCGAAACGGAAGAAGAGAAACTGATAAAGGCAATGGTGTGCTCAAAGTTCAAGATTAAGGTCAAAGTCATGTTCAAATTAAACTTTTAACCTCGCACTTTTCACATATTTTATATACCTACCATACTTAATTCTAAGCTGTTTAAAGATAGTGTGAAGCTTAACAGGCTTCTATTTGTAGTATATGTTACCATAGGCGGCGGGGGGGGGGGGCACTGCGGCACCGCATCCCGCTTGATTTTGGCATTTTAATATTAGCCCTATGGGCGTTGCATGGAAAGAATGGGACCAAAAGTCGGCGGTGCCCCCTTAACCCGTGCCCCACTGGGGTCTGCGCATAACGCGCCCTACTGGGGAAGGGGGAGGGGATCTTCATAGCCCCCCCCCCCTCTTAACCCATTTACGCCCTTCGTTGCGTTTTCGCAACGCAAGCAAGCGTCGACGTAATCGAAGCTTGAGAAGTGTGTAAAAGAGACTAACCGACGAGACAAGTTTCAGCGTGTGTAGCATGGTTGTGCGCATGATGCTACGCAGTTACAAGTCAGTGCGGCCGGTAAGTTACTGCCTAGAGCTCCCAGAGGGAAGTCGAAGGTTTTGTGACTGATGACGTCACGAAAACCAAGATGAGTAGGCCAAGTGCTTAATAATATCGTAATGAAAATTGTGTAAACATATTCTGCAGAGTCCCTACAATAGCGTAGATATGCGTTTTGTTAAGAAATAATGCTACAAAAAGGGTTTGTGACTATTTTCAAATATGACTACGGTCGCGTTGCGGGAACGCAACGAAGGGCACATCGGAAAGACAGCGGTGTTGCGAAAACGCAACGATGGGCACATTGGCAGGGTAGCGGAAGTATGAATATCAACAGTAGACTTCACTCGTGATACGCTGTGGGTTCTCTCTTTCTCTCCCCCATCTTCCTCCCTCTCCTCCTCGTTCCCCAACTCTCTCTCTCCCTCTCTCTCTCTCTCTCTCTCTCTCTCTCTCTCTCTCTCTCTCTCTCTCTCTCTCTCTCTCTCTCTCTCTCTCCTCTCTCTCTCTCTCTCTCTCTCTCTCTCTCTCTCTCTCTTTCATTTTGTAGCCATGAGGCTGTAGCGGCGGAATATCTTCAATTAAGGGGGGGGGGGGCACTGCCGACTTTTGGTCCCATTCTTTCCATTTCCATTTCCATGCAACGCCTATAGGGATACCTAATGTTAAAATGGCAAAATCAAGGGGGGCACGGTGTCCTGGTGCCCCCTCCCCCCCCCCCCCCGCTCCGCCGCCTATGCCACGAGGGACGTGTATAGGATAGGTATGTTTAGTGCAAGGTGCGTTCGCACGTAAAATGTTGCGACACATTTCATATTTGCTGGCTCAAACAGCCACAAACACTCCTTTCTTTTTCTCTCGCAGATTATCGGCCTCGGGCTGTTCGTTCACCAAGCAATGTGTTCCCATGCATCTGAAAATCACATGGTAGGAAAAGGACCCATGCATCAAACGGTCGGCGATGCTAACGGAGCTGAGAGATAATTAGGTCCTTTGGAAATTGGATCTACTATGTACATTGTGCATAAATAATGAATAACGGGGACGTATTCTGGTATTAGGCGACAGATAACTAGGCATCGCCATTCTCTGGATAGAAACTGCTGACTACCAACATTTACGTTAGAAAAGATAACTGAGGGTCGGTAAATAGTGGGATAGGCCCCCTCTGGGGGTAGCTGAGCCCTTCGGCAGGGGTAATGAGGGCGGACCTGGAAAAATAATAGTTTTTAGGATTCATAACTCGCATAGATTCATAAGCTGCTTGATGTGGAGTATACGCTTGTTTTCTTACTTTGATAGGCTTTTTATCTAATCAGACCATTTTTAGAGCTAGCAGGATTATTGGAATTAGGGGAGACATTTGTCCGACCGGACACGGTTAATCGTAGACTGGAGACTGAGCCCAGCCAGTGGGCAGGCCACCCATGACCCACCTCCTTCCCCCTCCCAAGCACTCACTGCACCCGGCTACAGGCGCGCTCCGCTGCCCGATTGCGATATACGTTGCCGGTCCAGCCCGGAACAGGGGGTTGAGGCGTGGAGGAGGATTCAACTATCCTGAAGATGGAAAGGACGGATTGACGTCGAATCACCATTCTGTCCTGGCATTGTCTCGAGAAAGAGGTTACACGTGAAGGTCGCTGAGAGTAAGGCCATGAAAATTTTGGATTAGGTGTAAACATGGTAAACTGGGAGTCGATTTGTTGTGATGCGCTATACCTTACGCGGGTAATTTGTTAGAGCCGGATCGGTCCTTTTTTCTTTTTGCTGAGAGTGGGTACGACTAACCTGCAATGGAATTTAACTTTACTCCTAGGAGGGTGGTTAACAATGATTGCGGATATACGCGCATACGTGAGGCACTGGTTTACTCCCAATCCTCCGTTTAATTGTATTCACTTATTCAGTGTGGGGTCTGATAGGTGGGGGTAATGGCTCT